TTTTTTTAGATTCCTCCTCGTGCAATGTTTATTACTCAATTAATAGGTACAATTGTTGCTGGAATAATAAATTATGTTACAGCTAATTATTTAATGAATACTATTCCAAATATTTGTACTCAAGGAAATCCACGTTGGACATGTCCAAATGCAAATACATTTTATAGTGCATCGATTATTTGGGGAGCTATTGGTATGTAAAATTGAACTTTTTTTTAAATCGAATAAACAAAAATTTTCTCTTAGGTCCAATAAAAATGTTTGGTAAAGGAGCAACTTATTCTTCTCTTCTTTATGGTTTTCTTATTGGTGGTATTCTTCCAATATTTTCATGGATTCTTGTGAAAACATTTCCTAAAACTAAATGGCTTGAATATATTCATTTTCCTATTATGTTAGCAGCTACAGCTATAATGCCACCTGCTCCACCAGGTAATTATCCATCATGGTTATTAGCTGGTTTTATATTTAATTTTATTATTGCACGTTATGCACGAGCATGGTGGAAACGATACGCATATGTATTCTCAGCTGCTATGGATAGTGGTGTTGCTTTTGGTGCAATTATTATTTTTTTTGTATTACAAAATAATAATATAGAATTTCCAACATGGTGGGGAACTGGTGGAAATACAGGAGATGGTTGTCCACTTTCACATGCGAATTATTATGGAATTATGCCAACAAATCGACCGATTATAAATACTAATTGAATTTATTTAGTTTCTTTTTTTTTCTATATATTTATATATATATATAATTATTTATTTTAAATAAGAATCTATTCTCAATAGAAATTATTGTTTATTCTATTAATAAAAGATCATTTAATGCTAAATCCTAAATGAAATAAATAAAAACAACAGTTTTGACGAAGTTTCTTTAACGAAAAAATATATATCTACAATATACAGCTAGTAGAAGATTCTCATTTTGTTGGTATAATCTGACTGATTAATCGCTTTTTGAGTTAGGACTATGTGCGTCATGTATTATCTCTTGTCATTTCATGTATATGAGATATTTTATTATTCTATTATTTGATTATTTCGAACATTCATATTTGACTTCCTTTGTTTAACACATAGAATTGTATAATGAAGATCTTATAAGCAGAATGAGGATCAAATTCATATCTTCGAATAACTGGTTGGATTGAAAAGTGACTATAAGGTTTTGACTAAAGGACACAATATACATAGGTTTGTAGAGGAAAACTTCTTCTATTCAATAGTATATAAATTATCAAATTCTGATACGTACGAATTTTTTGTTAGGATTCTGGCTTCGTTTTACGTGATTTTCAATTCGATATAAGAAAATTCGCATTAAATCTATGATTTTTTTTTTATTTAATTTTCTTTCACGATACTCAAGGGAATTAAATAATATATACACTATTGGATAGAAGAAGTTTTTGTCTACAAACCTAGATATATCCCGTCCTCTGCTCAAGAGTTGCTATGAAACTTTTAGTCACCTTTGTACGAAAAATGATTATCAATAAAAAAAAAGTTGATTTGATTGAAATACTATTTTCTAAATCGATGATTCTAAACTAAAAGATTAGTTTTACTTGATAAAATAAATGTAGAAACTATACTCGTTTTAAATGAATGACATCATTAGAATAATAAATTTATTTATTCTCTCAAAAATCTCGAAAAATACTTTTTCATTTATTCAGTGAGCAACTATCTGTTTTTCTTCAAGATATCGTGTATTTAGTTACTGAAAAATGATGGATATTGTGGGTCTGACAAAAATGGATTAGTTGACAAACTTATCTCATTTTCAATCAAAAAGAAAATCAAGTATTTATTGTAAATGATGAAATAAATCTCAAGTATAAAGGACAAATATTATATTTTATAATAGATTCTTTTATAATTCATTTTGATTTCAATAAAATCGTGATTAATTGTTTTCATCATTCTAAAGTAGGTCACAGTCATTAATTATTCATCATTATCCTTCTTATCGAGATCCACTTGATCGTTAATCGTTAAAGAATTGAAATTCCAAAACAACATGAAAAGAATAATGTATCAAACGAAATACCAAAATGAACTTTTTGTATGTAACAAAAAGTCTAATGCCTAGAACTCTCGATTTATATAGTAGTCTATCGAGTAAAACGAAATTTTGAAAGAATTTTACATTAATCCATTCAATCTACTTCGTTGAGCGTGTATCAATTATAAATCCATGAAAAAGATTAAAAGATGAGAAGAGAAAATTTCTGTCTCAAACTAGTTTACCGATTGTTGAATATCTTCATCGATACTTCTTTTCCATCTATGTGTCGCACTGATACTACCACTTGTAATTCCTTGCCCGCGAACGTAATCCAAATAAGGTCTAATTTTGAAATTTTCATTGACATGGTATTGTGGATTTATACGAAATCCATGTATTTCTTTTGGCTGTACAGCGAATGACCATCACGGTTGTTCAATGAATGACAATCTCGGTTGTTGAGGTATATTGAAACTATATTGTGGAAGTGATGGAAAATTAAAATTCGACGCTTGCCGTTTTTGTCTTTGTTCGTTCATGATTCTATCATTGTCAATCGGTGCACAGAAACTATAATTGATTTGTAAAACAACTTTTCGATGATTTTTCATAGGTATTATAATCTGTGACAAACAAACAACAATAAAAACGTCAACCATAGAACTTTATTCGATTATAATCAGCATATCTATTTTTTTTCAATTCTTTGACATCTAGGTTTGTATTAGAAATAAAATAGTTAATTGAATCAATCGTTGTTTTCGATGTCCACTCACAAGTACAAACTCTTGTCAAAATTGAAAACTAATCTACGGATACTCGCTTCAAATGCATGAAGTAGAGTATGTTATGTCAACAAATTTAGTTTTATGTAGAAAAAAATAAAATTGTCAAAAATTTTATTATTTATGGCAAAGAAAATAATTCAGAAAGTAACTAACAATCTATTCAAGAATAAGCAACATCAGATCAAGTAATAGTTTCTTTAAAAATTTTCCATAATTCATATAAATTTCCCTTATTTTGAGGTTTCTATCTGCTGCAATATTCTCTATTTCATAATCAATATAGTTTTTCTTCTCTTTGTAACATTTCGATAAATCCAAAAGATGAGTGTCAATATACAGTTACTGTTGACTGATAAGATTATCTACTTGTTCATTCCATAGAACACATTTTCATTTTTCACATGTCATTCTCACTCTCATGCTGAGTTGCGCTATGTAATTGAATCACATGTGTATGGATGTGAAAACGGACTACACTTCTATTAAACATGAGATCAAATGGCTATTTCCCGTTTTATTTTCGATCTTTTTCCCATTTTGGAATTTTTTTTGTTTTCAACATTTCCTTGTAATTATTACCATAATTCATCCGGTCGAATATTGAAGATATTACCGATCATCGTGACTGCAGGAGAATCACTGATACAATAATTTTTTAAATAGAGTATTAGTCTCTCGAATATGTTCATGATGTGGTCAGATCCTTTCGATATTCTGATCTTGATGTAGAATTGTTTTGGTTATTTCAGTGATCATGTGGTTTAAAAATGAGGATTGAATAATACGAAAGCCTTGATTTTCTTATTGAATGAGCAAAATCATCTTATATCGTATGATATTGAAGTAATCGACAAAGGAAGAAGTAAAAACATAAAAATTAATTTTGAAACAGAGTATGTGTTTCTGACAGATAATGTCAAATAATTACCTAATTTTCTTTTGAAGCATTATATAACTACTGAAGACATTTTATCTATATTAAATATTACTTCAGCTTCCCACATGATGAGTTTTACAATACATACATTAACTTTATTTCATGATTATCCTTTATCTATCTAATAGAGACAACACTATTCATTTTATGCTCTAATTCGCCAAACTATCGTAGAACTTTTGAAATTTATAATAATCTTTAGTAAGAGTTTTTATCAATCGATATTACACAACGAAAAAAACAGAACATTTTGTTTAATAAATTTAATTTTTTTTTCAAAATTATCATTTTTCTTAGTCCGATATTTTCGGACATGGAACAAAATGTTCTTTTTTTTCTTTACCAATCGATAATTCATGAAGTTTACTACAAAACAAGTTTTGAAGCTTTGAACTTCTATACATCATTTAGTTTTCGTAATCGATCTACAAATATTCATCCAAATGACTAGTAATAAGTAAAGGTTTAAACTTTGTTTCTCTGTCTATAATTCAAAATTTTCATTAATTCTCAATTCAATTTAAATTTCAAAGATCTAAAATGATCGATATGATCAACTAAGTCAAGGAAAAAAATAAAGAGATGAAATCAATAACACATCAAGTATCTTATATTTACAAACCACAATATATAATAAACAATATCATTCAAACAAAGAAAGTAAACTGCAAAAAGAAAAGAAAAGTGTTTTTGTTGACTTAACATCGAAACACAAACAACAACAGAACAATATACATAAACATAGAATTAAGCTTTGAGTTTGAACTTGTATGATAATATAATGTATAATATATACAAAACACAAAAAAAAAAAAAAAGAAAAGAAAAATTAATCTAATATAGGAGATGCTTCAGAAAGTGATGATGGTGATATTGCTTTTGTTATTTCACCTGGTGATAGATTATCTTTTCCTGGTGATGAATTAGGTAATGAAGATAATAGTCTATTATTTGTATTTGATGTTGGTGAAAGTGATATATCATTATCATTATGTAATGATAAATGTTTATTATTATTAAGTGTTTCATTAGTTAGAGATTTTTCATTATTAATTATTGGTCGATTTATTATTGTACCATTTGTTGATAAATGACTATTTTCATCATCAGATATAATCATTGATTTTCGATCTTTAATATCATCTTCATCAATGTCATCATCATTATCATCATTTGTTAATAAACTTTTTCCTATTGTTTCATCAATTTTATATAATTTTCGAAGTTTTTTTTCAATATATTTTTGAATTAAATCAGCTTGTTCTAATGAACAATAACCATCATCAACACATCTAAATATATATATAGAATTAAAAGATTAAATTATTCACTAACACAAAACATTTTCATTCTTCAGATATGTATTTTTTTTCTATAACAGATTCAAAACAATTGAAATCTACTTAGGACTTATCAAAATCAGTAGCAGTTATACTATAGAAAGTTCGAAGAATTTTTTTCTATTTATGCAAGGCGGAACAAAGGATGAATTTGTTAGAAATCATTATAACACTTTAAAGATACGAATCATGGTTGGAAATCGCTAAAAATTATCAAAAAACGTTCTAAATCATAGGAAATCTTCAGTTATAAAATTAAAAGTAAAGTCTTGATTTCTATTGATTCGAGTCTGTTAATGTCCCAGAGAGAGAGAGAGACTATTTAGAGTTGGTTTTTGAACTTCTCATTCAGTTACGTTGCTAACAACGAATAAAACTAAATTTTTTTGAAAAAACTTCAATCTGAAGAATTCTCTACAAAACGTAATATTTAGTTTTCAAAAATACTGTAAACGAAAAAACATGCAGTGGAAAACATTGTTTTCTTATGTCAAGTCACGAACGCTAATTTTTCAAAGTATCTAGCGTAATTCAATATATATCTGTTACGTAAAAAAATTATCGTGTATAAATACTGATGGTTCAAGCAATGCTCTATAATTCTGTAATATTTCAGCATTCTTCAGTTCTGATGATAAATAATAGTTGTTCATTTTTTATTTAGATGGATACGGAAAATTTCCACTTCTACATTCATATCGTGTACATCTCTAAATCTGTAACTGAACAACATCTGAAATTATCTAACTAATCCATTGTCTCATTAATATAAAAACCCATGAGTTGCAAGCGCGAAGTGATCTGAGTCAAGACATCATCTAATGAATAATCTCCGATCATCATCTTACCGCTCGTTATATATCAAATCAAGTTGACCTTAAATGTAATTATGAAAGATACGGTTTTTGTCTTCAACTGTTCTGAGAAGTAGAGTCTGATAGCTGTAAAAAAAAATATGTCTAATATATTTTCGATAGAGAAATGATTGATTAATTTATAATATTTTCTAATTTACCTTGAAATAGTAATAAGAATAGGTTGTTTTTTAATTGATTGTAAAATTTTAGCCATAGCTTCATGTAAATAAATAATCATTTCTTCTGAAGAAACATGTAATGGTGGTCTTGTATCTGATAAATGCATTCCATAATTATGAATAGCTTTCCAATCTAATTTTTTATAACGTATAATAGCAATTAATGCTGATAAATAAGGATTACTACAATAGAACAAAACAAAAATTTATTTTAAATAATAATTTAAATTCAAAAAAAAACAAATTTACTCAATAAGTATTGGTTGATCTAATTTTGGATTAGTTAAATATTCATCCATAGATATACGAATTTGTTCTAATGCATTTTCACGTGTTGTTATATATCGTTGAATTTCAATATCTGTACGTTCTTGTACAATACGTGTATAAACATAACGAAGAATTTCATATTCATTTTCATCGAATTGTTTACGTATAAAATCATCTGTTGAAAAAAATGATAAATTAATATCAATTATAAATTGTCTTGTTTCAAGTAATTGATCAATTATAGTTGCATCAAGTGGATATATTCGTTGTATAATTTGATTATCTTTATGATTATTTTCATTTGTTGATAATTTTGTTTTTTTTCGATTATCAGTATCAAGACTTTCACTACCACTTTCATTATCATATATTGATGGTTGAGATTTTTCTATATTTGTTGAATAATTTTTTGCTAAACCAGCTGTTGAAACATAAATATCAACTGTATGAATATTTGAAAGTGTATCAATCGATGAATAAATACAATTGGAAGTAAAATATGGATTTGTTGAAGTCACTCTGTAAAATACATAAGTTGATATTCAATAAGATTTTTGTATATCAAAATTTTTCATATTTCGATGAAGAAGTGCATTATTTTACAATACTTACGAAGAAATCTTTTCAGCTATCTCTTTTTAATTTCAATGATTTTGTTTGCCTATAGATACTACATAGTGTTCTAATCAAAATTCTAAAAGTATTCTAGAAAGAAACTTCAATAGCTTAGTCAAATCTCAATAGAAACCCAAATTCTTTTAGAATGATGATTGAACAATTTAAGGAACTATTGGAATTTATTTGGAACTATCGAATTTATCTATTGATAGTAAATCATACATTTTATGTACTTTTTTCATCCGTACAAAGTCAAATAGAAATTGATTTACTTAGCACATAAAAAACTAATCGTTATAAATCATCAATTAATCACAACTGTTCGGATACTTTCTATCAACAACTACAAGAGAAACCATTCTTTATTCAAATTTTTTAATTTGAAAAAGAATTCCCCTAGCATGCGTTGATGCACACCAGTAAACTTTGTGTACGTCCGGTGCTGTCGAACAGCTAATGATGCCGAGATTTATGTATTATACCTTGGGAATATGTGTCAGATCAGTCGTTTTTTTGGTCTCCGTCACGAGAAAATCGAGAACGAAAGTTACATATCCGTCTGCCATGCGAGAAATGTACATTTACTATTTGATCATAGTGGTTGAATTACATTCGAACATTGTCTAAACTATTTCCTTCTAGATTGATATTCCTGATCGAAAGATAAGAACCAAACAACACATTTATTCTTTCATCTAGTTTACATAAAGTCCTTAAATTTTCTGTTCTCTCTTAATTTTCTAACGAATTTAAATACTCGAATATACATACTTTAATACTCCAGTTTCTTGACATTTACCAACTTGTAATTGATATTTTCCATCTTGAAATTGATGAGCCCAAGGTGGTTTAAACCAAAAGATTTTTGTTATATATCCTCGATAAACAGCTGGAAGTATCCAAGATTGATTCGTAATTGAACTAAATTATCCAAAAATTTAATTCGTTAATTATTCTTCAGAAAAAAAAAGAAAAAAACGTCTTTCTTTCTTTTTTTTCTTTGTTTCTTTTGCTTTCAACATACGTAGCAAGATGATTTAATGTTTCAATTTCATCAGCTTGAACATCTTTTGGTACAAGAAGATCAGCATAACTATCAAATCTAAATAATGCAATATCTTCTCCTGATTTGAAATTTACTCCAATATCACGAATTATTATTGGAAGAACCTTTAAAAATAAAAATAATTTATCATTAAATCATGAAAAATTTAATTTCTTGTTTTTTTTTTTGTTTTACCTCATTATTATGTTCAACAATTTCAATTTTTAGCTTATCTTTAATTGCAACCATTGCATTTCTTAATAATCAAATATAATCTAAAAGTCAAAATGAAAAAACAAAAAAACAAGTTTATCGAACTAATTTTTTTTTTTTGAAATTTCAAAAACAGAGAAAAATGCAATTTGTTTATTAATTTTTTGTTTTCTAAAATCCAACAGTTTCATTAATTAAAGCACGTTCAAGAATCACTCGTCCTTCTTTATATCGTTGTGATTCTTCAGTTGCAAATTCATACATCCAACCTAATTTAGCATCACATTTTTTACAACTTATATCTCGAACAAAATGTCGACCAGTTAACATTATCTAATTAAACGAAAAATAAAAATATTCTTTTTAATTAATATAACAAAAAAAAAAAAACAATATTATATTAATTTTTACCCGTTCTTGTACAGGACTTTGTTTTGTATTAACTATTCGACTAAATAAAAAAGCTCGACCAGTTGCACCCGTAAATCTTGTTGAAACTAATTCATTACGATTTGTTAATGGTGTATCACAATGTGCACATGAAAATATTCGTTGACCACCAAGATGTTCAAGAAAAATACGTCCCATATCTAAAATAGATTAAATGCATTTAATAATGGTTTTATATTATAAGGAAATAAAGATTTTTCATGTGCATTTTTTAATTGATCATGAAATTGATTCATTATTAAAATGATATGATTATAAAGATTATTTTCTGCTTGAAATTTTAATTCATCATGATTTAAAGATAAATATTTAATTAATCGAAGAATAAATATTAAAAAATTTTCACCAGTTTCTGGTGTTAATAACCAATTCATCATTGTATCTATATCATAATTAATATATTTTAATAAATCAATAAATATATTTGATATATTAAATATACAATGAAAATTTTTATTAAGATTTATTTGAAATAAAATATAACATAAATCAATAATTTCATCATCATCAAAATCATTCGATTTTAAATATTCATAAAATGTTTTATTATAAATTTTATTAAGTAATAATTGAAATTCATAATCTAAATTAATTAAAATTAATTTTTCTAATATAATTATTATTGATATATCATATTGTTGATAATTTTTAAGAAGATTTTCTTTTAATGGAAAAATATTATTAAAAAATTTTTTATCAATTTTATTTAAAATTAAATAAAGAAGACGAATATATTTATATTTAAGATAAGGATCTAATATAATTAATAAAATATTTGATAAATAATATTCAAATGATAAATTAATAAGTTTATCTGGATAAAGATAAATACATTGTTTAAGAATTAAAATTAATCCACAATTTATTTCAAGATTTTCATTTAATATTTGTTTAATAAATTCATAAAGATGAATATTTGAATTTATTGGATGTGAATTTATACGAATAGTTTTAAGATATCTACCAAATGCCATTAACCAACTGATATCATTATTTTGATTTTGACGATTCGATTTAATTATAGATAAATCATTTGTTGAAATAAAAAGTTCATAAAGTATATTTTCACGATCAAATTCTAAACGACGTAATGATGGTTCATTCATTCTTATGAAAATAAAATTATACGATTGTTCGAATTTTTCTTCCTGTCAAATTGAAGTTTGCAAAAAAAAAAAAAGAATAAGAACACAAGAAACAGAAAAAATAAACAAATAATTAACAATGGTCTTCTTTGCAACCAATTGATAACATCGATT